TAGTCGGATACTATCTGAAAGTATATAAATGTCAACTTGACTTAACATCAATACTTGGATACTGTCTGAAAGTATATAAATGTCAACTTGACTTAAGATCAATACTTGGATACTAACAGTGATGTCTTCACCCTCATCCTTACCGTGATAACCGTGATGTCTTCACTCTCATCCTTACCGTGATAACCGTGATGTCTCTAGGAAATAACCAAATGATTTCACTTTGTTTCTATTTTATCACTTTGAAGGAGTATAAGTGTTAGTAAACTTGTGTTTCTAGAAATTTTCATCATGTTACAAATATCATTATAAATGTTATATTTTATAGTTTGAGCAATATGTTTATTCAAAAATATGAGAATATAAATTTAAAAAATTATGAATTTGTGCTTCTTAAAAGAGCTATTATTAATAATATTCCAAACAAGCTGTTGTCTTTTTTAGTATGAATATGGTATTTATTCCAAAATTTCAAAATATTCTTAGGAACTTTTATTATTAATTAATAATTTGCATGTGTGTGTTTGTTTGCTTAAAAAGTATAAGAGAATGACAATAAATTCTATTTTAGGAACTTTTATCACGTTAGACATCAGCATTCAGAGGCTTGAAGCAACTGGACAGATTGACGTCCAAGGAACAGTTGAAAAAATACGTTCTCAGCGTGCTTACAGCATCCAAACACCAGATCAGTATGTGTTTTGTCACTTGGCCCTGCTGGAATTTGCTTTAAGTAGAAATCTCCTGAAAGATGTAGATCTAACAGGATTTGATGAAGCTGACTCTGAATCAGAATAAGAAACTGATCCCGATCAGTTATAGTTTGGTGACATTGGTCACTGGAAGTGTTTTCTGTCAATTATTTCAGTCTCTTCTGTTCTCTGAGCTATGTTTTTTACAGCAAATGACAGGAGGTTAAGTAAACCGTATCTTTCCTTGGAAATTTTTTTTATAAGAAATTCCATATGGCTTTAAAGATCTGCCCTAGGTTTATGTTCCTGAACTTGGTGTGTGTGTGGGTTGTATTGGTTGTCATCTAGTTGGATGGCTATTAAAATGCATAACTTTAAAAAAATTTCTAATCTGAACACATTCTTTTATCACAAATGTTATAAAAGATTGTAATTGTATACATTTTTTATCAAAGAAATTAAAGTAAATGGCTCATTTAGCTTAAATGGAGTTTAAACAAAGGTAATAGTTAAAAGCTATTTAGAAATTTTAAACTATGACAATAAAGTTGTTTTGATTAGTAGCCTATGTAATTACCTAAGTCTAAGTATTAATTAATTACTATTTTTGTTTATTACTAAATAATAGTTACTAATTTTTTTACATCCTATCTCTCTACTGCCATCTTTGGTGAAGTTTGTCAAACTTTGCCACGGCCTGATTAAAGTTACTCCTATTTTGCAACACTTTAAACTATGGCCATACTAAAGTTAAAACTTTGTCACATTTTAAACTATAGCCATACTAAAGTTAAAACTTTGTCACATTTTAAACTATGGCCATACTAAAGTTAAAACTTTGTCACATTTTAAACTATAGCCATACTAAAGTTAAAACTTTGCCACATTTTAAACTATAGCCATACTAAAGTTAAAACTTTGCCACATTTTAAACTACAGCTATACTAAAGTTAAAACTTTGTCACATTTTAAACTACAGCCATACTAAAGTTAAAACTTTGTAACATTTTAAACTATGGCCATACTAAAGTTAAAACTTTGCCACATTTTAAACTATGACCATACTAAAGTTAAAACTTTGCCACATTTTAAACTATGACCATACTAAAGTTAAAACTTTGCCACATTTTAAACTATGACCATGAAAAAGTTAAATTTTTGCCACATTTTAAACTTTGGCCAAAAATAGCACAAAAGGAGAGGCTTAAAACTAAATGTTATGTGAGCTGGTAAAGTTCTTATGATTACAAGTAAGCAGCAGTATTTGGAATATGCTGTAATTGCAAGTTGCAGTATTTGAAAGTATGCACAAAATGTTTTATATCGTAAAACATAACAACCATCTATATTTGCTTGTTTTTGGTATTCCATGTAGATCCAGCTTGTGCATGCCACGGCTAGTGATGAAAACTGTTGTCCAATAAAGTACTTGTGAATTCTTTGATACGTTCCAACTACACTACAACATTTAATATATATGTTTCATGGCTGTAAATTGATTGTTCTTCTGCGGATTAATGGATGTAATGTTTTAAAACCTTGTAGTAATACTAATGTAGAATCGTAGGTAATGTTCAACAATTTTCACGGTTCGAATAACTTTTCCAAGCTTGTAAAATATGAAGAAAATATTTCATGTAGTGAATAAAAGTTTGGTAATTTCAAGTTTTACACCTCCCGTGTGTAGGCTTAGAACCTAGGACTGTTTGCACCGTGTGAGTGCTCTTCCAACTGTTTCTCTAATCAACAGATGTGTTAATACTCTGACTTTAATACTATGGTTTTGATTTGATTACATGTATTGTGGGTAGTGATTGTTGGTATGATTATTATTAAGGAGTCGCTATTTAAGGCTAAAACCAACACCTTTTTAATAGGAGTCGCTATTTATGGCTAAAACCAACACCTTTTTATTAGGAGTCTCCAGGTGTTATGGCATAAGTCACATAGTGTGATTGGTGTGGCTATTGTTGTGACAGGAATCACCAGGTGTGGTTATTTTTGTGGCAGGCATCACCATGCATAATTATTGTTGTGGCAGGAATCACTAGGTTTGGTTGGTTCTGCGGTAGGAATCACTAGTTGTTGTCGATGTTTTGGGAGGAATCACCTGGTGTGGGTAGTAAATAAAAGTTTAGAAATACAGGTTTTAAATTGATTATTTATTTTTCTAATTTTATTACAATGCTTCAAACACTCATCTGGCCATCATCAGGTAATCGTCGTCTATTATGTGAAATATTGCAAGAGCATTTTATTCCAGTTTAGAAAATGTATAATGTGACACCTGTGTTTTGATTGAAATTAGGTTTTAGTTCACAAATAATTAATGCTTCTTTTCTTTTTCTTCTAATAATATTACATAATATTTTAAAGTTGCTAACAATAATTGGATGTTGATTTGTTGTGCTGTGTTCATAAATGTGTGATGGGGGAGTGTTATGTTCTTTGATCCTTATATTTATGTTTCATTTCAGCTACACGAGTGTTGTTGCAATGATTGCATAGATACTTCCGTCATTGAAGTTGTCAGAATATATATCTTCCTTGGATGACCTTTGATTTTAGTGCTCAGTTTTTGAATAAAAATAATTTTACTGTTTAGACTGTACTTTTTTGATACATGTTTATAATGTCTCTGGTTACACAGCCATGATGTGGAAAGACACCTACGTCTGATTTTGTGCATTTTGTTTTCCCTCCTCACAACAGGTATGGGTGATGTAAATTGAATAGAAGTTTTATCAATAATTTGAAATTATAATGTTAGGAGAATGAAAGGTAGGTTTATGGTCATTTATACAATTAATTAGTATCAATTTTCAGATGTTTTATGTGTAAACAAGTATCTTATAATTATTTTCCAGAAATTCAGTAAAAAAATTCATATACCATTTTTGATAAAGTATTACATTTTTGTATTCATGCATTCCTCACCTAAACATGTCACAAGTTGTTTTGAAATCTATTGTATGGTTTGAATTTTTTATGTATGTTAAACACTAATTATTCTGTGGGCATATTTCTCTTATGCTTGTGAGATGACTTAGCTACTATGATAAAATTATAAAAATCAGCATTTATTTAAAATCTTTGATGGTTTTATTACTGACGTTTTTGTGTTGGATGTTAAACAGTTATGTACAAATAACCATTTTAAAAGATAGTTTTATCTTTGTGAGAAATTTGTATTTGCATTTTGTTCAGTCATCTTTATTTATATAAATTTTTAAAAAGTCTCGATTCATTTTAACTTGAGTTTTAGATCAATTTATTTCCAGCCATATTTATGTATTACCACGGAATAGGTTTCCTTTTTTTCCGTGTAGTACAGAAACAGATATATGGAAGTTTCTATTGTACTTGCTGTTTCTCGTTCATTAAGTTTATGTTCTGTTTAAGAAAATTAACAGTGGGAAATATCAAAACTGTATTAAGTTGGATTAGTTGGAACATTGAATTTTTATTGTACTGTTATACCCTTCCTTTGAAGATGGAAATTAAATCTTAAAATGTAACTTGAACATTTTCACATCCCAGTACTTAGTTAGTACTTTATATAATGGGTATATTTAGCACTCAAGTTTTCATCACTTTTTGCTTTCTTCTTAACAAACTAAAAACTCAGCACTAAAAGCTTTGTTGACAGGTAAACAAATTAGAAGTGGTTAGGTTTTGTGTTTAAAGCTTTGTATGTGTGCCCACATCTATAATCTTTATCTTAAGCTATTCTCTCTCTTTCTGTAAGTATTATTTAGTCATGTCATTTAATTTTTTTTTTGTAAATTTTTGACCAATAGTAATAGCGACTAAACCCATGCACTCTTTCTCTGTGAACTTTGGCAAACTTCAGTACTTGCTAAACCTATGTTTGATTTGTTGACAAACACTTGTAGAAGCACATGTATTTTGTAAACCAGTGATCAAGTAACTAATGAACGTACAAACCTACTTTTGTTAAAGAGTGGTGAAAGTATCTTAATTTCTTTATTGGTACTGTTGTATCCCATGCCACCCACCTACCTGCTCCACTCACACATTTTTACAAACCCTTTTAAATCACAATATTACTTAAAGTTACTACCACTACTACATGTTTGGATGTAATCAAAGAATGAAACTAACCTTTTAAAGAAAGTCCCACATCAGCATGTAGAGCTCATCTCCTGGTTCTCATACCATGCCTTAAGACGAATGTGCTACACCTATTTTATATACCACATCCCATACATGAAATGAATAACACATCCACAATGATTCCCCTTTTGCAGTCAGACTCTCAGTTGATCAGCCAGTGCTCTTATTTCATTTTCCCCAAAGCAAGAATTCTGTGGACCCTCTTGCCATTTTTCAGGATTCAAACCCAACACATTTTGAATGGAGTTCTTATAACCAGAAGCTTTCTTCATGTGTGCTTTGATCAGTTTTGTTTGAAGCAGCTGTGAACAGTTTTGTCCTTGTGTTGTCAATGGCTATTTGAATGAATTGAGACGAGTTGGTTCTGGGACTTCTTCTAGCATCTTATAGTTTGATGTTTTGGAGCATCACAGATTTTTTGGTGCAAATTCCTGGATGTGTTTTGAGACTTTTCATGTTCTTTACATATATATTTTCATCAGGTTGTCTGCTTTTGGAATGGCCAATTCTTATTTTTATAATGACACAGACAAGTTTTTCAGTTCTGTCAGCACATCCAGTGTTAAATAAAGGTTTCTGACAAAACTTGCAGAACACAGCTTTGAATGCAGTCCCTGAAATTTAACCTGTTCACTTTCATCTCTTGACCAGTCTGGTGAGGCTTCCTCAAAGTGTTTTGCCAAATCAAAATAGGTTTGTCAGACTGTATTGATGACTCTCGATGTTGAAACCACGTACCTTACATTGAAGACTGCTGATTTTTGGAAGTGCAATATGTAAATCATTGACGTGAGCTCTCAATTCGAAAATTTTTAGGTGACTGACCGTACAAAGAATATTAAGCATCCAAAAAAGCCTTAAAATCATTTGTATCTCTAGTGACTTCTAGGGCTTTATCAACAGATTAGGGAAATCCTTTTCTATCAGTTTTTCAATACCAGCTTTGAATCCAAACGTGACACCTTCACTATAAAAGCTAACAAACACTCCAGACAGTAGTGCTAGAGTGAACTCGCAATGCAGCAAGCATTCTAAAACTTCCTCTTTAATGGCTTCCATGCTTGAACTTCCCAAATCAATCAAATGTTTTAGGTCTGTGAGGCTCTCATGGTCACTGAATGGTAGATTTGTTTTGCCGATGTAATAAGTTGTGTAGAATACATGAGTAGTAGTTTCAAATGTCACTTCTTCACTTTTAGCATTCAGATTGGGAAGAATTTCTTTTCTTTTACGCATTGTTTTAATTTTTTCATACTCAGTGTAAACTGCTCACTTCTATTTTGCAAAAGGAGCAGAATTCTGTGTCATTATTATCCTTTTCATAAGAGAATATTTCACATGGGGCTCAGTCTAACGAGATATTAATGACTTACAGAATGCAGCTTCAAACCAAAAATGTCACAACATACTGTACAACCAAGTTTCTCACCAAAAGCAAACAACCAATAATTATTGTTTTTTAACTTCTCAAATTGCATTTTTGACCACACAGCATGTTACTGAGGTTCAGTCTCAGTTTTCTTACCACGTAATTCATCAGTCTCCTCTCTTTGGCTCACTTGGTGAAGATGAAACAGTGTCAGGGGTTTCATGACTGCTTTATTTGTAGGTATTGTTTTTTGATCAGCAGTTCTCTACATCCTCATTTTTATGTTTAAACATACCAGTTAAGGTCTGCTGGGGTGGCTTTTCTTTTATCCTAAATTTTTCAAAGTGCTAGACTTGACCAGTAAAAAAACAAGCGGTTGCTATGGCAGCCATTAACTAACATTCTAAACCTTGTGAACTGTACCCACCTTACGAAGAGTGAAAACTGAAGTGAAGCATTTTGTTTTAAGAAAATGTAATATATATGTGTTTGTTCAAGTGATAAATCTGAATTTTGTTGTTAATAGATTTAAGCCTAACCTACTTACCTACGTGTATTGCATACTGTTACCACTTTCTTACTGATATGCCATACCAGACCGTACAGACTTACTTTCACCTCTGTTGTTTCTGCAACTGTTTTTGTACACACTATTTTTTAACTTGTATTAACTGTCTGTAATTTTGTTTTTGTACAGAGTGTTTTGTTAACTTTAAGTTTTTACAGTTGTTGTTTTTGTACATACTTATTTGTTAACCTTCATTAAGTTTCTACAGTTGTTGTTTTTGTACACAAGATTTTGTTAACTTTCATTAACTATCTGTAATTTTTGTTTATGTATACATTATTTTGTTAAGTCACATAAAGTTTCTGTAATTTTTGTTTATGTACACAGCAGTGTTTTGTTAAATTGTATTAACTGTCTGTAATTGTTGTTTTTCTACACATTCTATTTTTATGGAATACTCATAAGCTCAGCATTTACTGAACTACAATAAGTAAATATTTAGCATAAATAATTTTACTTCACAGTTCTAAAGATAATCACTAATTAAAATCCACAGAAACTTGAATCGTGGAAGTAAAATGAGCATTCCAACAGAGGAGTACTGTTTCTTGTGACTTGAACGAACGTACCTGATGTGTGAATACATTCGTATCATCAGTAAAGATCAACACGTGTTAATAACTGACAGCATAGACAAAAGACGTGCTGGCTTAAGTATGGTGTGCCTTCTCATTATTCCTTCCATTTCTATTCAGATATAAAAATAAATTATAATTTGACGATGGTTTAGTTTTATACTCAATAAAGAAGAATCTGCAATACCCATCTTTCACACATTAACTTTCTTGATAGATTAATTAGACTTTGTAAATAAAGTATAGGTATATAGTTGTTGAATTTCTATAATTCAAATCTCTCATGACAGTTGTGACTTATTTAGCTTATCCTTGACTAATTCTATTGTTTGCACAAGTCTATAGATATAAGGAAAGTGGTCTGTTAGAGATCTTTTATTTGAATAGCCAGTGAAATTTTTGTCACTGTCTTTCTGTAGAATAACCTTTGTTAGCAAAGCCAGAAAAGGTAGATTTTCTATGGAATATGCGACTTCGTTTAGGAAAAATTTTTTAAAGTTTAATCAGAACAATTACACGCCCCCATAATATCTGCTCGTAGTAAATGTCAATACTATGTGCTAAACTCCAGCATTTATGATTTTCAAAAATTGTTTTAGATATTATGTTGTTTTAGGATTTTTTCATAACTTTTATTGTTTCATATCAAATGACATTTGTATAACTGTTTCCTTCCTTGCCTATGTAGCAGTATAAAATTATTCAATAGCGTAGTTGTAACTTGAAATTAGTAGTGCAGCAACAGCTCAGAAACTTTTGAAAAACAACAAATTATATGAGAAGTGATGTTAATATGTCGTTGGACTGTACTGACTGAGCAGTCCCCATGAAAAAAAAACAAAAAACATAGTTCTGAAAATCAGTTCTCCAACCTTGCTCGAGCATGGTGTGAACTCTGGATATATTAAGATAATATCTTCTTATCCATAATTTATAGAATTTAATAAAATATTGACTGATTTGTTTTCCCATTCTAGAAATATTAACCCTAACGTGACAGCTAGCTCGTTAGTTTCTACGTATTTAAAGCTTTTACTCTGCCTCCTGGCAGTATAGGTTTTTTAAGAATATTAATTAATTATTGTGGTGTTTTATATGATAAATGTTTTTTATTCTAGTCTAATTGTCATTAGTAGAGGCGTCGCTAGATGCTTAAAAGATTCAGGGCTCAGGCCCATTATGCCGCCCATAGGCGCGGGAATTTTTGGTGTTTTAGTATAATATCGATCGTGGTTTTCTATTCTGATTTTTCAAGACACCAAGAGGGAAATGGGAATTCGGAGCACTGTCAAATAGAATCAAGGCACGTGCCCCGTATGCCAAAGCCTAGCGACCCCTCTGGTTATCAGTATTGTTAATTTAACTAATAATAACGTAATGTTGAAGTCCGTCACTTTTGGTTTTGTCTAGTCGTTTATTTATTCTTGTTGTTGTCAAGCTAAACTACTGTGTTTCTTTGGATATACTGTATTTCAATAAACATTTTTAAAAAGATAGTTTTCGCATATTTTAGTATGCAAGTCAAAATCAAAGAAAGACCTGCTTTAAAGTGGCGGGTATTGCATGATGTATACATCCAGCTTCCACCCTGAAACACCCAAATCCACGAGCAAGTTACTTCCAGATTAAAGTTTAGTTATTCTGCAATTATTTAAGAATATAAATATATTGCTATAACCAGTATAGAATACATGGATATTTACAATTTATGAATATGCTAAACAAATTAATTGAAATTTAATAAACATGTAATCAGACGGTATGAAAACATGATGTATTATAATTTTGAATAATAGCAAAAACAAAATAATAATAATAAGCTTTAAAATTAAAATATAACAATGAAGAATAATATTGACAGAGCACAGATAACTCATTGTGTAGCTTTGTGTTAAAACAACGTATTGGTTAAGTCTCCAAGACTATTGTCCCGCAGTAGCACAGTGGTATGTCTGTGGACTTACAACGCTAGAATCCGGGTTTCGATACCCGTGGTGGGCAGAGTACAGATAGCCCATTGTGTATCTTTGTGCTTAACTTAAAAAAAAACAAACAATACTATTATGCTCCTTGTTGACCAATGATTTAAAATGAAATATTATACAAACACACAATTATACATATTTCGTCGTTTAAATTAAAGACTAGCAATGGGTGATGGTAACGTCATTTTCAGAGGTGAGGTTAGGGCCACCAGTAAATCTGTTTTTGCTGTTTCTTTTTCACGATTTTTTAGCAGAAAGCGATGACTATTGTAACTGGCAAAATAAAGTATTAAAAAATGTGTTAATTAATATCAATAAAGTCGTTAAATTTACTAAATATATAAATGGAACTTTCTTTTAAACGATATAAAAGATGAAACTGTAAGACAAAAAGAAGTAATTTTAATTGTTAATCATTCTTTTACGGGTAAACAAGTAAATGTGTTTGAAGACCTTTTTTACATTCTTCTGAATAGTTGTTTCTTTAAAATGATATTTTGTAATTTATTTAACGTTCAAGTTCAGAAGGCTTGATGAAAATGTGGAAAGTTTGTGTTTAGGGTATTTGATAATTAATTCAATAACAAGTTTGTGTAGGCTTTTTCTCTTGTAACTTGGGCATATAGAATATTTTCGCTTCAAAATTAGGAACAGCTAAGGCCTAGAATATTTATCCTAGAGTAGGTTTGCGCGAAATTCAAGAAACAAACCAGTTTCTCAGCTCTGCGAGATACAAACATCTTTCTCAAGTGCTTTTCGAAGTTTGTTCATTTGGTTTTCGTACAGACTGTTAGAGTTTTTGTTGAGATAATTTAATACGTCATTCATCAGTAAGGTGTAATATGTGCTTAAAAACAAACAAACTTTGTGGATATGTTTGGTTATATATGACTCTGAGTGTTTAAGATTCTTTTTTTTTTTGTTTTGGTAGAGAATTTTCAAGAAATACAAACTGTTTTATTCAGTGTAATTGTTACCTGATGATGACCCGATACTATGGGTCGAGACGTTATAATAATTAAGTTCAAAATTTATCTACTGTAAAAGTTGCCATTATTGTATTTTTTAATTAATTAAATAGTCGGTTCTTCACAAAAAATGGGTAATTATTTAATTGATTGCCCTGAAATATTAAATTTTATTATAATTCATCTTAAGACAAAACAAATGATAGTTTCACATTCCCCGTCCTTAAACTATAATCTAAGTATAGTCCGTTATCAAAAGCATGAAGAAAATATAGTGGTTATGTGGTCCTTTGGGTATATTCTTACCAATCATTATGTGTATTATGTTGATAATATAATATGCATTTTATGTATGGTAAATGTAGTAAGTACCTACAATTTGGTTTAATCTGTTGATTCTATACATAAATAAATAATTGTAAATTTCCCTTAAATCACTTAGTAGAGGAGGGGTCTCAGGCTAAAACATTTGATAATTTTTATGGTAGGATATACAGTCGCAAGAAAATACATAAAAAAATACCAGTAATATAAATATTTATCAATATTATGTTGTGGAAAAATATATTAATCGATAAAATAAGAGAGGGCGCACTATTCAAAATGGAGTCTGAACACACGAGGTAATAATAATAATGTAATTCAAAATAATATTTTTATACCAGTAATATTATTGTACATTGTTAGTTTTAGTGTGTCAGGGCAAAGTTTTATATATTTTCAACATATCTGTTTTTAAATTTATAATAGTAAAAACTGCTGAACACCATTATGGCTTATTAAAGATTTTCTGAACAGTTGACTTTCAAATTTCAAGTTTTACCGCTATATTGCCACTGACTGTTCAGGAATCGTCTTCTGTCTAATAAACTACTTTATGATGTTGTATTTCATTGCATTGTTATTATTATATAATTTGATTAAACTCGCACTGCTGCGTTGGTTTATTTACAGATAATAGTATTAGGTTTTTACAATTAACACTTATAATTAATACAAATATAATATTAGTATTAATTTACTGTGTTACCAATGCAGGTGTTTCACTAACATTTAGTTTAAGACTAATACTAATAGTAATAAGAGTAAATCAGTGGTGTAGGAAGGAGTTGCAAAGTGGGGGTACTTGGCGAGACATGCAGATTTCACAATGACAGATTGGAAGTATAAGAAGCTGCTAAAACTTTTAGTAAAAGCATCTTCTCTGCTGTCAAAGGCAGCTTAATCTGAGGTGATGTCACCCTAGAAAATTTATATTCAAGAGGATTTAAGTTAACCTATTCTTAGATGAGGTAATGAATGTTTACGTGAAGAAAAGCACAGTTTGTAATGAAGGTGGATATGTTGACTGATAATATGGATAACACATGTACAACAAGGGAATTTGATCCTTCAAGACTGTCCCTGCACACCAACTTCTAAGAAAAGGTAAAAATTCAACCCACCAATTTATTTTTCAAGAAATCATTGATTCCTCTTCTAAACTTTGAAGTTGCTGTCCTGCACCATATCTCGTAGTAACTCATTCTTGATTTGTGGACTTTGTTCAAATCAAAGAATCTCATCAAATAATAAAGTCAGTGTAATATTTAAGGGCTGTTTGTTAAGAATATGTATTAAACAAAAGATCTCAAATATTTCTTACCTATTAATAAAAACTTGTTTAGTAGGTATCAGTCATGAATTTTACTTTTAAGACAAATAGCTTTGTGCACATACACTATTTTAAGATCTTTAAAATATAAACCTCAAACTTGTATTTTTCAAATAGTTTACTTGGATAACATTCTAGGTATGTGATTAGAATGTTCAGTTAACATTTGTTTTTATACTTTAGTTATAAGCAGCAACAGAATACTCGACTACCAGAAGTGTTTCCAAGCTGGTATTCTACAACTGTTCGTGAACTTTTGAAAACCAGTGCCACCTATAATGTTGACCTAAGAATGTTACCTGATTATGGAGGAGCTGGGATTAATTTGAAAACTACAGAAGATCCAGAATACTCCCAATGCAAAGATGGTCTGCATGTGGCTAGTGCAAAGTCTGAAAAGTGCAGGAGTAAACTCTCTGCTTCTTGCTGTGCACTTCCATTTCTTCCACCAAACAAAAGTAAAAATCAGTTTCATTTTTAAGGGAATTTGGTATCATTAGACTCATTGAAGTTTATATATATTTAGGAACTATATTACAGTTTTAAATAAAAAGTTGTGTTGTATAGATCTTCTTTTAACGGAAGCCTCGTCCTTTTTGAAAAGTATATTGTTAGATTTTTTGCTGCTCTCAGTACAAAAGTTACCATCACGTTTGTGTATAGCTGAAGAAATTTGTGAAACTTTAACTTTTAATTAAAAACTACCTCCTTTATAGTTTTAATACATTTAGTAATTTTTTTAAAAATTATCTTAAAATAATTACTTTTTTTGCTAAACTATGAAAGTTAGTAGAATTTAAATTTCTCTATATCTATTTTTTGGACAAAAACGTTGTATATGTTTACTAAATGACAAGCTGTTTTATTCCTCTTCTTATTTTGTAGTTAGAAGTCTTCATGAACCCTGTTTGAAAAAATTGAAAGTTGAACAAAATCGTCAGTCTTCATTTGTGAATAAGATGTTTCATCTTCAAAAAAAGATGAAAAGCAAGCAAGTACGTAAACTAACCTCATCTAGACATAGTTAATAGAAGTATAAGTACTGTAATAGTTGTTGCTTAATTAATCAAGCCATGTGCATCTAGATTTTTATAATTATTAAATACAGTAGTATTTAATAGTAGGGATCAACAAGGCTTCCAAATAATTCACATGCCGAAAAGCCACCCTATTGAATTCCTAAGCAAAGTATTGGTTACAATATATTATGCACATATATATATGTATATATATACTAATAATATGCTAAAAAGGTCACTAACATTTCCAGTATAACAATTCAAAAATTTCTAAAACAGCAACTTTTTTGTCTACTACCTACCAACCTGATCACATCAGCGAGGCTAGCCTCTAGATGGCTTGGACCATAACTGCAAGATTTCTCCAGCTTACTTGACTGGTCTGTGGGTATCAGCTTTTGATATTCCAATAAATATATACAGATTTTTTATAAATGGTGAACATATGCACATACTTAAATATCTTTTCAACTCGATTTAACCCAACATATGGTGATACATATCAATGGATAGGCATGCAACAGTTTCTAAAGGTAAAGTATATACATTGTACAGGTATAACATAAAAAGTAAACAAAGATGGGTATTAAAAATTTTTAATTTTAAAATGAAGTAGGGGATCCTGCTTCAGAACATAATGAAACAAGTATTAAAACCACAATCACAAATTTATAAAATTTAATCCCTATTTTGGCAGCTTTATACACTTATCTGTAGGCCAAAGCAAAGGTTACATTTTATAAATTTGTGAAAGTTATAGCTATCAGGGATATGGCTTTACTGAAAGTTTATAGCTGTTGTTTCCATTTACATGGACATACAAAAACTGAACAAATATATAGGAGAAAAAAATAACTTTTAAAAAAGTAGGGATCATTGGTTATTCATAGAATTGCTATAAAAAGTATACAAAACAAAATAAATGCAGCAATAAAAACTGCACAAACCAGTAAAGTGATACTAGTTGGATAGATTTTTAAATGATTCTCAATCCATACTTGGCATTGTGATTTATATAGCTAAATGAAGCAGTCTAAATTTGCCAACCAAAGTAGGGATTGAAAATAGTTTTAAAATCTATCGAAGTAGTACCTCTTTACTTGTTTTTGTACTTTTTATTGCAGCATTTATTTTGTTTTGGACACTTCTTATAGTAATTCTATGAATAACCAATGATCTCTACTTTTGTTAAAATTTTAATTTTTTTTCCTATTTATGGTAATATAATCCCGAAAATAGTTACAGAATTGAGGAAAAACAATAGTTGTTGTTTAATTAATCAAGCCATGTGCATCTGGATTTGTTTAACATTAGTATAATTAGCAACAAGTTCATTATGTGGATAACAAAGTCTGATAAGGCACAAAACATTTTTATTTACAAAAGCTTTGAACGTTCAGAACACACTTATTCCATCTTCATCGAAATCTGGAAATAATATTATAACTAATGGTTCAGTAACTTCAATAATTAATCTATTTAAAATATTTGGTAAATGGAAAGGAAGTAGCACAAGGTATTAGTATTTTTACACAAATATTTTACATTTAAATATGTAAGCCCATCTGATCAACAGGATCAAAGTTATCAGTGTGCTCTCGTATGGGAGCACAATTGTAACCAAAGTGACTATCTGAATATCATGACAGTTTTCAAACAAAATTCTAGATATTTATGGTTTAGCATTCATCTAACAAATATCAGCTACTAACCAATCACCATGCTTGCCCTGTGATTGGTTGACTTGGATCAACAGGATCAAAGTTATCAGTGTTGCTCTCGTATGGGAGCACAGTTGTAACCAAAGTGACTATCTGAATATCATGACAGTTTTCAAACAAAATACTAGATATTTATGGCTTAGCATTCATCTAACAAATATCAGCTACTAACCAATCACCATACTTGCCCTGTGATTGGTTGACTTGGACGTGCACATTTGAATGTACACATCCAAATCAAACAAACACATGAGACCTTCACATTGCCATTACATAAATCATAAACTAAGTGGTGTTTTTCATGTATTTCCACTAACTCAACCATAAGCTTACAAGTAATAATGTAATCATTTTTAGTGAAAAGTTAAATTACAAAATGAATAACTCAGTTTCATACCTTCGTGTCATGATAACTTTCTGCACATAGGCTCCTGGTGTTCATGTGTTAGAACACTGAAGCTTTTTTTTTCTTGCCAAAATCAACTTTTTGCTCGTGTTATGCACCTCGGTAGAAAATACACTAAATGCCTATGTATGAGAAATGTATGAAAATTTCTAAATGTGTTTTGCTTTATATTATAACAAGTATGTTGGTTGGTGAACAAAAATTAAACAATTTTCATAAAAATGTAGACCATGAAACATTACTCTTAGATAATTAAAATAATATCAATAACTAACCTAAAAACACCACCTGCAACATGGAAAAATTTAATATTGAATTCATTCATTTTCCACTATCAGGATCCATCGTAGTTGTAATAATTGATACCAGTATTTGCTGTTAGTGCTGATACCAATATCACCTCTTCTTTGTACATATTTGTATCCAAGTGTTGATCTTTTTGATGAGTTGATGTTTTATACTTTAAAATATCCAAGTATTGGTCTTAAATCAAGTTGACATTTATATTCTTTCATATTCTATCCAAGTGTTGATCTTAAGTCAAGTTGACATTTATATACTTTCAGATATCACGGTAAGGATGAGAGTGAAGACATCACAGTTATCGGGGTAAGGATGAGAGTAAAGACATGATGGTTATCACGGTAAGGATGAGGGTGAAGACATCACGGTTATCATTGTAAGGATGAGAGTAAAGACATGATGGTTATCACGGTAAGGATGAGAGTGAAGACATCATGGTTATCGCGGTAAGGATGAGGGTGAAGACATCACGGTTATCACGGTAAGGATGAGAGTGAAGACATCACGGTTATCACGGTAAGGATGAGAGTAAAGACATCACGGTTATCACGGTAAGGATGAGAGTAAAGACATGACGGTTATCGCGGTAAGGATGAGGGTGAAGACATCACTGTTATCGAGGTAAGGATGAGAGTAAAGACATGATGGTTATCACGGTAAGGATGAGAGTGAAGACATCACGGTTATCGCGGTAAGGATGAGAGTGAAGACATCACAGTTATCGGGGTAAGGATGAGAGTAAAGACATGATGGTTATCACGGTAAGGATGAGGGTGAAGACATCACGGTTATCACGGTAAGGATGAGAGTGAAGACATCACGGTTATCGCGGTAAGGATGAGAGTGAAGACATCACAGTTATCGGGGTAAAGATGAGAGTGAAGACATGATGGTTATCACGGTAAGGATGAGGGTGAAGACATCACGGTTATCACGGTAAGGATGAGAGTGAAGACATGATGGTTATCACGGTAAGGATGAGGGTGAAGACATCACGGTTATCACGGTAAGGATGAGAGTGAAGACATCACTGCTATCACGGTAAGGATGAGAGTGAAGACATCATGGTTATCGCGGTAAGGATGAGA